GCCAGGGTCAGGCACTCCCGGGCTGGGCAGTGCTGGCCACGGGGCAGGGAGGACACAGGCTCTAGGTCTGGGGGTTTCATATCCTCACAGATGGACTGAAGAGCTGCAGCCCCTAGTGCCAGGGTCAGTGTCATGGGAGGGGGGCACGGATGGCCCCAGTCCTGTCCAGAGCAGGCTGAGATGGTAGTGAGCATGACCGTGAGACTGCTCAGGGCACATTTTAACTGTTCATACAGCATCGTACTGCTTACTTGGTCCCAGGGTTTCCAGCCTGCAAGGGTGTTTTAAAGCATCGCAGCAATGGAGGGTGGGAAGGAGACCAGGGATAACAGAGGAAAGGAGAAGAGAAGCAAGTGGAGAGATGCGCTCAGATGTCTAGACATCCATAGCAAGTGTAAACCAATATCGCTTTATTGATATCAGTGCAGCCTTTCTATCCGGTTGCAGAGCTCCATTGACCTCGGGGAGCTGCACTTATTTCTACCAGCTGAGGATCTGTCCTACAGAGAGAGGAAGATTAAGAGGGTAGAGAGGGAGGAAATTGCTGCTGAAGCATGGAAATCAGTGCAAAGTTTTGCCAGTGCTCCCGTCTCCACCTGGATCAGGAGGCAGGAGAGAAAGGGAGGAATAAAAAACCCTGAATCATTAAAAAAAGAGCGCGAGCGAGCCCATCAGAGACCGACGCCGTGCGATGAATCCTTTGGTGGAAAGCCGGCGAGAGCCAGAATCTGCTTCCAATGGGTCATTGGAGCTCTGCTATCGGCGTAATGAGGTGTTGGTAATGGAACAGCAGCAATAGCACTGCTAATTATAACGACATTAGCTCTGAAGCGCTGTAATTGCCAATCGAAAACACCGTTGGTTCTGGAAGCCAGGCGCTATTGCGGAGACTCAGCTCCATTTGCGAAGCACATTAGTGTTTCAATCTCCGGCGCCGCCGCTCCGTTTACACTTCTTCTCTCACTGGTTTCCATCACGGGCTCGGGTTGATTTTCTTAACAGCCTGCGTTTTGAATCGGTTGCTCGGGATGCATTTCATCCGCCGCGCGGCTTTATTGTCATCGCGGCTTGCAAGTTGAGAGAAGAGGGGGAGAGTTGTGTGCACGGCCGAGGGGGGGGCGCTAATGTTTTCCGAAGGCCTGAAAAGTTCAGTGGCCTCTGAAAGGAGCAATATAAAGACACTTGACTGCGCGCTGAGCGGTGATCACAGCAGCCCAATTCCCTTCCCTCTCCTCTGCAGTCCTGCTCACCGGCTCATGCTCTCTCAGTGGCCACCCCCTTTCCACATCCTGCTCGCAACTAATTGGCGATGCTTAAATACATTCACAGAAACCAACCAGATTCGAATTAATTGCCTCTGCTCATTCACGTCCCCAGGACCTGGGAGAAGCCATGGAGTAGATGCACGCGCTTGCTGGAGCTCATGGGGCGTGGGAGGAAGGGGTGGATTGGTGGGGTGCCACAGATCCCATACAAAACAAGGGGGTGCAGCCAGGGACAGGAGGCCCAACTCTGGAAAATAATCCCATGTCTTGGCGTAGGACCGTGGGTGCTTAATAGCGACAAGATGGTGTTGTCTAGTCTGAGCCCCGTCAGGAAAGGTCCTGCCACCTCTCGTTTAGAGGGGCAGCCTGCAGCAGGCTCCGGTGCCAGGCTCTTTCGCTGTCCTGGGGAGATACTGCAGCAATGGGATGGGGTAGCAAGCTACCAAAGCAAGGACTATATCAAGGCAGGATGCTCTGGGGACTTCCCTGCATTAAAGCAATTGTCAGCTGGCCCCGGCAGCAAACGTCCAAGCTGCTTTGCACCTTTGGGAGCAGAGTCTGTGGGTGTGCATCTCTGTAGCCCACTTCTGAAAAGAGCTATAGTAACTAGAGTTCACTCCCCACCATTTGGTTTTAATCTCTGTAGCAGGCTGGGCTGAGCCGTCCTGGTCTGGAGACCCCATCTCCAGGCCAGGACAGGTGGGGACACAGGGAAAATCCCTAAGCAAGACAGCTCGGCTGGCGGATGTGTTTGTTCGTTAACAAAGGCAAAACCTGGGGGATAAAAGTGACAGCTCTTGGGACCATCTCACCCCCACCTGGATGTGAAAGAGCTGGCCCCAGATCCGAACTGGGACCCACGTCCATGCACTCTCTGCGGCAGTGACACCGATTGACGTCCCGCGTGCCTGTCTCGGGGGTGCTGCTGCAGGGCTGGGCGGATGCGTGGCGCGCAGAGTGAGAGCTCGCCGCAGAGCATTTAACCTCACCAGGAGCAGTGTGTTTGCTCTCATGGCTGCTCTGACAGTGCCCTTGCCTTTCGTGTACTTTTCTTTTCAATAACACAATTACTTACCCTTCTGAGGAGCTGTCAGTGTTGGTAAACTCCAGCTGCTAAACTGCATTACACAGATCTCTTCTTAAACCTTTGCAGTTATTAATAGTTTATTGATCCCGGTCCCATTGCTGGTGAAAAGAATCTCCATCCTAGGCCACTGTTATCTGAATACTGACTGCTAACCAGCTGGCCGATCGATGCCACTCAATTCCCTGGGAAAATGCTCTCCTGCCTGCTTAATCCACTTTAGGAGGAGGGCAGCTCTGAAGGGAGTTTAGATTAGGTGGCAAAAATAGTCCAAATGAAGCCAACGAGAGTCGTGTCCTGGGTTCAACAAAGAAAGTGCCGATAGGAAGACACTGACTCTGATCCTCTGAAGCGGGGCTTTGCTGCCTGCCCTGCTTTGATACCCCAGGAGCAATAAAAGCCCACAGTCATCTGGTTGATGCTTGTTTTCTGCCCATGCCTCAGTTTCCCCACTTGCCCAGGAGATCATTGCAAGGGTAGAAGCAGCCTCGGTGAATGTAGGAAACAACCGCGACTGTGAAACTCCCCGGATCTGGAGAGCACGTGTCTCTGCTGCCTGAGCAGAGGGAACGGGGCAGTTAGTTAAGGCAATGACAGATTCCCAAACCTCCTTCCACGATTTGTTCACTAGCAAGTGGGAGCGAGTTGCAATGTGTTAGTGGGGGCTAAGCAGAGTTATTATGAGTCCTGGTTAGTGCTTAGAGGATGCTCCGAGGCCGCCAGGCCCCCTTGGTGCCATCACAGTGTGAATGCCCATGGTTTGGTGTTCGCCATGCACGCCTGCTGCAGCTGGGACACGGAGCCCCCCTCAGCCCTGGGCCTGCAGAAGTGAACAGGGCCATTAACACCGGACACAGGTCCGAACCCAGATCTCTGGCCCCAAAGCCCCTGGCAAGTGAGGAAGTTTGGAGTTGCTGCAGCCAGCAACCAGTGCTAGGGCGGCACCGAGCTGGCTGGAAAACAGAGTTTCCCTCCTGACAGAAAAAAAACCCTTGAAGTTGAAGGGGGGAAAAATTGTCCTAAATCAGGACAAAAAGGTTGTAAAGAAAGAAATTGCCTGAAAATGCCCTTTTGGGGGAACCAAAAGGGGATTTGTCAAGGCGATATGAGATGAAGGCTTTAGGGATAACAGAGCTGAGAAGCAGGAAAGCCTGGAGAAGGACAGGCAGGCCATATGCCAGCTGTGCACATGGCTCTGCCACCCCACAGGAATGCTGCCCCATGCACCCTAAGCAGCCACGGGCAACGGAGGTGTAAATTGGTGCTGATCTGATCCAGGAGCAGAAGAAGCCCAAGGGGAAGTGCTTAGAGGCTTGTCGGGGCTCTTGCAGTCTCCTTCTCTCTGTGCTCCTGAAATCTAGAGGCAACGGTGCATCATTTCTGTAGCCTCCACCCCACTCGCTCTCCTCTCCTCCCATAGCGGAGGAGGTCAGTTCAATCAATTCCCTTTCCCCGGCTTTGCGCTCAGCCAAGCTCTGCTCTTGGTCTCCTTCTCTGCGAGGCATTGAGACGAGGAAGGGATGCTTGCATTTTCTTCTCCTCGGGGCCTCCTGCCTGCTGCTCTCAGACCGGAGCCGAGGCCAAGTCACTGGATCAATTTAATCCGAGATTAGAGGACTGGCAGGATCAGGTGCGGAGGGGCCGGGGAATCAATAGCCTCCTGACCAGGACTTCGCTCAGCAGTTCTGGCTTCAGTTCCCCCCGTAATTGTACGGTGCTAGGCTGACTCCCTTGTCTGCTTCAGGATCGATGGAGCTGCCACAGCCCTTTGCCCCTGCACGCACGGTGTGTCTCTGCACGGACCCCAAATCGGCATCCTGGAAGACAGCATTTGAGCTCTTTGCACGCACTGATAGGACGCTTCCCAGGCACCTTCCATGCCAGCTCCCAAAGCAGGTTTTGTGCCACAGAATATATTAGGAAATCAAGGAGAGGCATGTATAGAAAAAGATGTAAAAGCACCCCTGTAATCAGCTGGCGACTGGATGGAGTTGAGACAGATTCCCCAGCAAAAGGCAGAAGAGAATGAAACTCTTCAAAAAGTGTCTGTGCTAATTAAGATAATGATGATAGGGGCCATCAACCCAACTGCTTCAGGAGGCAGAGCCACTCGCTACCTTGGTCAGGGAGAAACATCTGCTTCCTCGAGTTTGGTGCTGCACCGTTGTGCTCATGACTTCTGGCGCTGGGTTGTTGTCTCGTGCCCTGCCAGAGAGCTTGGGGGGTAGAGGTCTGGGAAAGCCCAGATGCAGCCCGTCGGCTTAAGGGGTTCAAAACCACTGATCAAAGGTTTTCAATGCATTTTGGGGTTGTTGAAATGCTTCATTTGCATATGCACAGAATATTTCATTTCAACTTTTTAATTATATAATTATAATTAAATGTATAAATACAGTATATTATCATAATATAATATAATACAATACAATATAATATAATATAGAAAAATGCTGTTATTTTATCAAAACAAACTTCTGGGGTTTTTGTCACAGCTGTTTTCAGAACGTGGCATGGTCAATTCATGGGAAATTCCTGTGGCAGACATGGTGGCTTGTATACAGAGAGTGTATCTGGGTTGCAAAGCAGAGCAGCCCTGCAGAAGATACCAATCAGGTTGCAATAACATTTCCTCTCTCCTTGCTCCCCTCCAGGCTCCCAGAGGTTCGGATCTCAGACAATGGCCCGTACGAGTGCCACGTGGGCATTTATGACAGAGCTACCCGGGAGAAGGTGGTCCTGGCATCCGGCAACATATTCCTCAATGTGATGTGTAAGTGCACCTCCTCCTCCTTTACCGGAGCAGCGATGTGGGTGTGGCGGGTGGGAGA